TTTAAACTCTGAACCCACTAAAGAGTCATTTATTTTGTACAGCCTGTGAGGCATCTTTATGATGCCTTTATGATTTAATGGCCCTTTAACGTTTTGTGCTCAGTACTTTTGGGATTGGGCTTTTATTCCTAAGCAGCCTTCTTTGATGCCACATCCCTTCCTCTCTCTAGTTTACAGTTTTGTATTATCCTTTAAATTTTTATTTTAAACGGACATACGGAAAAACTCAGTCTTTTTGGTGTATAGTTCTGTGAGTTTTGACAAATGCATATGGTCGCGGAACTCCCACCACAGCATGAGACAGTTCCATCACCTCAAAAACTTGCCCAGTGCTTCCCCTTTGATGTTATCCCTTACCTCTACACCTAATCTCTGGCAACCACTTATCTGTACTCTGTCACTGTATTTTTGCTGATGTCCCTATTATTTTTGTTATATAAATGGAATTCTAAAGTATGTGGTTTTTTTAAGTCTGGCTTCTTTCATTTCCCAAAATACATTTGAGATTGACTGATGCTGTTGCATGTATCAGCACTTCATTCTTTTGTATGAATACACCACAGTTAGCTTAGCCATTCACCCACAGAAAGACATTTGAGTTGTTTCCAGTTTTTGGCAATTATGAATAGAGCTACTTTAAACTTTCATGTACAGGATTTTGTGTGGACACAGGTTTTTAATTTCACTGGCATAAATACCTTTAAGTGAGATTGCAGAGTCATATGGTAAGTGTACCTTTCTTTATAAGAAAGTATGGTGTTACCTTTATAAGAAATAGCCAAAATATTTTCCAAAGTGACTGCATTTTTGCACTTCCACCAGCCACGTATGAGAATTCCAGTCTCTCTCTATCTTCACAAGCACTTGGTATTGCCAGTATTTTTTTTAAGGTTAGATATTCTGATGGAGAGATATATAAATGGTATCTCATTGTGATTTTAATTTGCATTTCCCAAATGATTAATGATGCTAAAAACTTTTGACATGCTTATTTGCCATTGGTATATCCTCTTCAGTGACATGTGTGTTTATATCTTTTGTCCATGTTCTAACTAAATTGTTTGCTTTTTCAATGTTTTGAGAGTTCTTTTTATATTTTAGATACTAGTCCCAGTTTATGGCTTTGTCTTTATGCAGAGCAAAATTTTTTAATTTTGACAAGGTCTAATTTAATAATTTTTCTTTTATGAATTATGCTGTTGTTGTCATACCTAAGACCGCTTTGCTTAGACCTAAATCCCAGTGACTTTCTCCTGTTTCTTTCAAGTCAATGATCTCTCTTGAGTTAATTTTGTATAAGGTGTGAGACTTAAGTCGAGGTTGTTTTTGTTTTTGTTTTTGTTTTTTGCATGTGGAAGTACAAGTGCTCCAGCACCATTTGTTTGAAGGCTATCATCCATTGAATTGTCTTTGCACTTTTGTCAAAAATCATTTTAACATACCTGTATGCATTTAATTCTGGGCTATTTTTTTCCCTTGACCTATTTGTCTTTTCACCAACACCACACTGTGTTGATTATGGTTCTTCTAGCTTGCCTTTCTTCTATTGCTACAGTCCCCCGATGGTGTTACACATTAAATATCCAGGATGGCGAAGCCACGTGCTACTCACCGAGGGGAGGAAATTATCACAGCAGCCTGGGCACGCGTTGTGAGCTCTCCTGTGACCGGGGCTTTCGACTGATTGGAAGGAGGTCTGTGCAATGCCTGCCAAGCCGTCGTTGGTCTGGAACTGCCTACTGCAGGCGTAAGTTGTATGTGTGTATATACTGATGCATGTATGCGAGAGAAGCCAGCCAGCCAGCCACTGAGGGTATATGACTGGAGGTGTTACTAATAAGCCCTTCCCTCAAGTACAAATTGAGGATATTCCACAAGCCACCCGTCAGGGCCTTTCCTCATCCTAACATTCTAGTTCATTTTCTCTCCCTGTGGTTACTGCCCAAGCAATATAAGCATTTAAGTAGCAACCAGCTCTTCTGACTCAGGGAGCCCAGGAGTGCACAGACAGAGCTAAGGCTTGGGCATGATGTCTGATGTGGACCTAGATCTTCTTCTGAAGCACCTAAGAATGTGTGGTCTTAGCCTCTTTTCCACTTGTAGTCAACTGCTGTACTTCCTGGCCTACAACCTTAGAAGAACTTGGCAGGGAAGCTACGAGACATCCTATTCTTCATTTTCTTCTGAAAGTCAGAAGAAAAATCCCTATGTCTAGAATGTGAAAATGCTAATATACACACATTCCAAGCCATTTTCCCCCTTCAGCTTCCAAATCTCTACCTCTTACTCAAGCTCCACAGCCTTTTAGCAGCTGAGCTTTTTCTGTCCATATGTCAATGGCAGAACATCATTTGTAGGACATCCATGTATACACAGCCCTGTGTTGGTCACTTCCTGTATTACTCAATTCCTCAAGTACCTCCAGGCTGCTTATACATGAATGGGATAGAAACACAAATGTGTGCACATGATGTCGTATAACTGGATACAGAAGTGCTGAGCATTCACAGAGAAATGGGGCTGGTCAGAGAAGATGCTGTGGAGGAGAGGAGAAGCTTGATAGCCAGAAAGCAGGCAGTCACCACACCTCTTTAGGTGACTGGAATTAAATTTGTTTCAGGACTTAGATCCCATCATTTTCAACAGGAATTTGAATCGATCTGACACAATTAGAAAATATAGGGCTGTAAAGTACAAGTGAACATAAAACCAATTAAAAGAATGGTGACATACCTATTCCCAGGTGCCTACAATGAGTCAATTACTACATTTGAGCACTGAATCTAGTTTCGATTTTCCTTGTAAGAGACAAAAGGGCACATGCTTTGGATCTCTCATTTTTCCTGTCATATGATACTAAGCAAACAAATTCATCTGAAGAGACAAATCTTTTCTCCTCACCCTGATTTCAAGAAGGTCATTTTTGCATAGGTCTTTACAAAGGGACACTGGAAAACAGAAAATGCAATAATCTTTAAGTCTGGATTGGCCAAGAAACAGAATGA